ACTTGGAAGCTCAAAGCCCCTTTTGCAGGTGTCAGTGGCTGGGCTGAAGCACCGTGTCATGGCAGGCCTCCAGCCCTCACAATCTTCAGTCCCAAAGAGCAAGCACTGTCTGCTCAGGAACTTGCAGCTCTGAATGACACCCAAGGCACTGCTAATCTAATCTGGCACTTACTGATTTCATTCCTTCAGGTTTTGCTTTATCAACATCCTTCTGTCCTTGCTCTTCTTCACCCTCATCTCCAGAAAGAGAGGAAGCCAGCAGAGGTTCTGGTGGTGGTGTTGTGAACCTCTCTGCACAGGAACTTCTGGCTGCATCAATCAGAGGAATCATGTTGGCAAGATGATCGGATTTGTCTAAAAACGGATGCTGCCCAAAGGAAAAAAAAAAAGAAAGAGCCATTAGTTTCCAAAAGCAGTTTCTCACAGACTCCAGTGGGATTCCTCTTGTTACCAACAATATACATCAGTAGGACAGAGGGCATCATCTACACCTCCAACTGCATGTCCAGGACCTTGCTATCACAGGCAAACATGGCTTATTCCACTTCTCCAGGTGACTTCAGCAAGGATTTTTGCCTTGCCTGTTCTCTGGGAATGCCACTTGCTGTCTCAGGCCTTTTTCCATTTCACAAAACTCAAGAGACTCACTTAGGTTCCTCTTCTCTAAAGACTTGGGCTATTTTAGGGGTCAAAAATGAGGAGGAGCACAAGCCGTTCCACGGGAAATCCCAGTCCCTCTAAGAAAGGTCAATCGCAGGAGGATGCAGGTCTGTGTCTTGTTCTGAAGAGCACTGAGGTGGAGGTTCTCAGCACCCAGACAAGAGCAGGGACACAAGGGGCAGAACATGATGGACTCAGCTCTGGCTTGCAGGGAGAGCAGTGTCTGCATTCCACCCCTGGCCCTCACTATGCTGGCTGCCACCTTCCTTCCCAGCACGGACAGCCCAGTGGCACCTTCTGCAGCTCCCTGTCTCTGCCACAAAACCTGGCAGAACCCTGGAGCACTTCTCATCTGCTTAAATGTGCCAGGCAGCAACTGGGGCTGGGACAAGGCCTGCTCAGCTGTCCCTTCTTGAGTGGCAGGAACCTCACCAGGTGGGGCAGGAGGGACAAACTGGGCCCCCTCTGAGGCTCCCAGTGAGCTCCCCACAGCCCCTTCCTGCTCACAGGCAATTCTCTGACCACTTGGCTGCCACTGCTTCATTGGCTTCCTCCTCCACCAACACCATTTCAGCCCTCTGCTCCTGCTATTATTCTACTCCAGGTCTTTTGCCACCAGCTACAACCAAGTGTACTCCCAAAGTACAAGCCAGGGCCACAGATGGTGGAACACCTTTCCTCTGAGGAAAGGCAAGGAGAGATGGCCCTGGAGAACAGAGGGTCTCGGGGAGAGCCTATTGTAGCCTTTCAGTCCTTCAAGGGGACCCATTTTTTAGCAGGGCCAGTGTCAATGGGACAAAGGGTCGTGGTTTCTGAGTAGAAGAGGATGGATTCTGGTTCCATCCAAGCAAGTCATTGTTTAGAATGACGGTGCTGAAAGTCTGGCACAGGAAGGGGATACCCCACCCCTGGTTGGCTTGGACAGGGCTCTGAGCAACCTGGTCTGGCTGAAGATGTCCCTGCTCATTGCAGAGGGGTTGGACTAAATGGCACTTAAAGGTCCCTTCTGAACCAAACTATTCTAGGATGCTACTTAGTTGTCATTTGAAAAGCACCAGGACCAGAGATGAGTAGGAGGGGAGGCCACCTGCTGCCTCTGAGTTTAGCTGATGAGAAAGCCCCTCCCTGGACAGCTGCTTCACCTGCAGCCACTTTACCTTCAGCAGCTGACTGGCTGTCCATCGGCACTTCGCTTTCTGGTTCAGGCAACAGTGCAGGAAGGAGTGGAAGATAGGAGACAGTTCTCTTGGAGTCTGCTCATGGGGTGGCTTGTTCTGAGCCTTGGGATAGAGGAAACACAAGACAACCATTAACCATCTCTCCCCAAGGGGAACAGCTCCAGCACAGGCCAGTCCTTGCTTTCTGAGAGTTGACCTGTGGCTTGTCCAGGACCCCTAATCAACATTTGATCTTATGCAAGCAGAGAATTTTCAGCATCCAGACCCCTAATGCAAATTGCTCTCATCTCTTTTGGCTGCCGAGTCCAAGGCAAATGCAATCCAAAAGAAGTCTCCCAAGAGAAGTCAGCACCCTTTTTCAAAAAGAGTGGAAGACTGACATTTTCCATAATTGTTGCCTTCCTCAGGAATTAACTGGGCAGCATTTAATTTGGTTATAGCTTTTAGTCATGGGGTTTAATCCTGGTATACCTTCCTGCACTGTTGCACACTCCTTTGGTAGAAGAATGGGTCTTTTCATTTTAGGGAATTAGCCCCAAAAAACCTGAAAACTTCCAAAGACATTGGCTACTACAAGGAGCTGTGCTAGAACAGCCTTGTAG